AAAGCCTCTGCGAAGCCAAGGTACAGGTCCTCTTCGAAGAGTTCCACTCTTCCACTCTTTTACTCTTTTATCACTCTATTTCGAACCCTATTGCAAATTACTAACCCGCAATAGAATTCGGTATCTACATATTTGTACACCTTACCCCCATGGACATTGTACCCCTTATATCATAAATAGAACTGTTTTATTCAATGCAACATAACGACTTGGTTCTTCCGAAACCTTAAAACCCTCCTGTGTCCTCATTGCAACTTTCCAATACCCTTTGAGGACCACAAAACCTATCGATCGCACTAAAGAGGTTGATCTAGCCGCTCGGGTTATCCTCTCCATATCTCTCAAATAATAAACTGGTTACGTGTGCGTACGAGTTAATATCTCTACAAACAGTATACCGCTCCGAGGAATCTACGAAGTTCCCCAGGCCTCGCTAGCCACTCGGCCGCCACGTAACACGATATATTTGTGCGTAATGATTATAAATCCCATAAACGTGATCAACCTCTTGTTAGCTATGTTTCAAACTATGTATTTAATGGAGACGGAAGTTAATCGACAAGAAATACTGTTAAAAGAATCTATTCAAACGATTCTTTTGGATAGTATATTCCAATTTAATTCGTTTGAGATTATTGAAGATTCAACGTTGGATTTTCAAGAACCTTGTCAAGCACGGGAGGTTGAGTATGTTGAAGATGAAGAAGTGTGGACTGACGAAATGGTACCACAACCGTCTTCATCGGTTTGCCAAGACACAGCGGTTAACTTCGACTATAAAAAGAGAGCAGTAGAATTCTGGAGAAGTGGAAAGTCCGGCAATCTCAAATTTGCCACTGTCCAACAACGATTTAGGGAACTTTCTGATGCTCGTGAATTAAGAAGGTGGGCCAACCAAGTGGATGATAGAGGATGTCGAAAAGAAAAAATACTGTATGTCTCTACATTCACGCTGAACAAATTACGAAACGCTATTGACGCAGGTTTTATAGTACGTGACGCAGATATCCTAGAATGGGCTCTAGAAGCATGGAGAGAACAGACAAACAACGACATGAGTTTTAAAGCATCGTCAAAATAGTTATATTTTAAAAAAGCTCATCGTATTGTGTCACGAAAAATAACAAAATTTATTACAAGGAAGACATTAGAAGACGGCGCCAATTTACAAAAAGTAACTAGTTAATTTCTAGACACTGTAAGACCACTGATAGCGCAGTACGGGGCCGAAAATGTGTATATTTCCGACCAAAGTGGATTTCCTCTAGAAATTCATTCGGGACGGACATTATCATATGAAGGAAAAAAAAAGTGTAATGTGTTGCCCAATCAATTTCGTTGACAACACGTAGCTACACAATCCAACCAATAATTTCGTGTAATGGACGTTTACTATCACCGCTGCTGGTAGTGTTGAAAGAAGCAAGTGGCCAATTCGGACCGGTCGTGGAAAATACATTGCTTCGTCCACAAAATATTAGGTTGTCCCATAAATTTCTTCCCTTTTTTTCATAGGACATGAATACACGATGCGGAAGAAACTTATGGGACAACCTAATATTTTTCCTTTGACTTCGAAGTCTGGCAAGCTAACTTCAGGTAAAGACACCTTGAACTTATTCCTTTAATTTATTAACTTGTATACTAATAATAATTAATGCGATTAAAAAAAATCGTAGAGCGTTTTAAAACGTGGTTGAAGGATGTCCTCTACCCTAACATTGGTCAACAAAGCGTTCTTCTGTTTGACTCCTGGAGCGGACACTGCAGCGATACAATTGAAAAAACGAAACCTGCCGACAAAAACATTGTGGCAATGATGATACCAAAGGGAACTGGTCGAATCCAACCTTTAGATGTCTATGGTTTTCGAGTATGGAAAAATTTTGTGAGGCGTTTTTCTTATATTGTCCTTTTACATAATTATGACGTTAACCTTCATTTACGGAATAATATCATAAAATTGCAATCACTCGTGCATAATCAGTTGTCTTCTCTTAGATGTAAAAGCCTGTTTCAATATGCATGGTATAAAAGTGGTTATATCGATGAAAGATTAGAAAACTTCCCGAATCCGGTTAATTTTGCTTTCGAAAGCTGTTCAGTAATGAAATGTAATGTTTGTGGTGCAGCAGCAATGATACGGTGTTCTTGGTGCAAATAAGCATTTTGTATAAAGCACTTTTTCCACGAATACCACTACTGTAATAAATATGATCAGTAACATTAAATAATCTCCTGCTTTATAGAAAGATATAAAAAATATTCTCTTATAACTTCCTGTTGATGAATTTCAGCATTAATATTTATACGCACACTCTTCTTGAATGTACTATTCTCGTACCTAAGGTATCGAATATCGCTAACTCTATTTTTTCGTAAAAACAATAAAGAACCAATTTTATCGTCTCACCACGGAAATTGCATTACTAGTTGGAGACGGGTTATGACTGCATCGTCGAATCCGTTGCAAAACAATTTTAGCCTCTGAAATTATTTTTTAGTTTGTTTATAAATAATTGCATGTTATGAAAATTAATGACATTTTGAAGAATTACCACGTTGACACGACTTATGTACAATGAATTGGTCACGATATAACCCAATAAAGGTAGTCGGGATATACCCTAATACCTCCTACATTCATTGTTTACAACCGATGTGTAAATGTTTATTGGCAAAGGGCAAAAAATACGTATTTCTTAATTTTTTGCGAGCAATCACATCGCGTAAGTGGAACTTAAGTAGGACTGCTTGTTTAATGGATATTACAAAAAAATGTCACCTGAAAGGTAGTTCACCCCCTTGAGGGGGTGCAACATTGCTGAACAATATTGTGTTGTCACCGTCTTTATACAGAATACGTTTATGCAAAGTTTCGTCGAAATCCCTCCACTGCTCCAACGAAGAATATAAAAAAAACCGATTCTTCGCTAAACTTTCGGGGGTTGTTTCACCCCTTAATTGTGGACCATTGCAGTTATAAAAAAAAACACGTCTCTTAGATTTTTGCGTTTTTCAACATATATGAAACTCAATAAGATCGGAGGCGGACACTTGGGAATGTTCCCTTGTGAATCAAATTTAAATTGACAAAGAGGTTCTGTTGCAGGGTGGAAAGCAAATGGGTTACTTAATTCACATTGAATACAGCCATCTCGGATTCTAATTGTCCCGAGATTCCACTTAGGTGACTCGCGGGTAATTCGACTACCCGAATAAAATTTCAGGATTTTTGGCGTGGCTAGGGTATACCAATACTTTTATGAATTTAAAGTTCAATGAAATTCGATATACGCGGCCAGTACGATCGCGATAGCTCGCGGAATTTGTAAAATGGGACTCCTATTTGGAAATGCCCCGGAGCTGGCAGAAGCAGGCGCGGCTTCCCCGACCACGTGGAGGCGGAGGCGAAAGACGCGATGGGGTCGGTGGTTCCGCGTGAGTCTCCGTTGTTACGGGGCGGCCGAGCGGATGCGAGGCCGGGGTAATTCAGATGGAGATTACCCAAATCTTGCGCGTAACGAGTATTTTAGGTTTGTGAGGAGATTGATCCGAGCGGCTAGATCAAGTCCTCTGGTGGGATCTAGGGGAGTGAGGAATAAAAGGGGGTGCGAACGAATGGCTATGTGGCTATAAGATTTGTATTTATTCGTACGCAAGGTCTGAACTACAGTCAACTGGAAGGGCACCCGAGGTGCCTTGACCTAATTTCTCTAGATTAATATACTTCTGCGTTGCGGCGGTTCGGGTGTCGCGATAGCGCGCTTTAGCGGCGGCAGGTTACTGGACGCGGGAATTCTTACTATTTTAATGGCGGTCTGCGCGTGATTCTATTTCGCGATGCTGAGATTCGAGCTCAGCTGTTTAATGGAAGTCGATGGATTCTTAATCTATCCGGTTAACCGGAGCAAGGCATGGAAATCGCGATAATGGTTAGAATTCGGTTTTGGTCGGAGATGAAGGGTTAATAAATAAACTAGAATGAAAATGAGGATGAATCGAGCTTGCGAAGGATCCACTACTTGGCTTGTTCAGCGGCCGTAATCGGTGACAGTCTCTTTTGATCGACCCGGTCGGATGATTCTGCGTGAACACCTTCGTCCCGTGGCGTGCCCTAGGGTTGAAGGTCTCCTAGAAGCCTCCCGTCCAACGGAAGTCGCAGTGCCGCCGTCTAGTCCTGACTCGGTGGTTGGATCACTGGAGTACCGGATGGCGCTGCTGCAGCTCGCAGGATAGTGGTCCTTGGCAGGGAGTCCAATGGTCTCGGTCTCTGACTCGCTAGGAACGGAGTACCGGGGACCAGGAGCTCCACTCGAAGTTTCGATAATACTGACGACTGACGTAGACTTATGACAAATTAACTAAAGACCGGACTTATGACTAATGACTGCCTGTCTTTATCGGACTGCTGGTTTTATTAGCAGGATGTTCCAATTGGTGGGGGTTTCCTAGGGCCCAGGTGAGGGTGGCGTTTCTGAGTCGTGCTGATGCGTTGCGGAGTCATCCGGTTGTTTGCCCCGGGTCGGTCGATGACTTTTGGAGCCGTTTGGCCGATGAACTCGTTGGATCATTTCGCAAGAGTTTCCTAATCGCGTTTCTGTGTTCGGATTTCCATGGCTAGCTCAGGTGATCGGAAAATTGGGCATCTCTCTACGTTAGGGTACGATAGGTGCCTACGTAACATATCTTTCCCGGCGAGGGGGAGTATCAGTACGCGTACGTTCCGCGCTCATCCCTGAAATAAAAAGGAGAAATCACCGATACGACGCATCAGTCGCGTCACCGTAATGGCAGGGAAAACACGATGCCCGATCGGTAGGAGCCCCTCACCCGAGGAAACGCGACGAAACGAGCCGAGAACGCTCGCGGCTGGTACGAAGAGCCGCGAGAGGAGCGCGAGACGATCAGCTGATGCTGCTGCCGCTGCTCCTGCTGTTGTCCTCGTTGTAACCCTATCCGACTTCACACCGTTCTCTCGCTCTACCGCTACGTCGTCGATGTCGTCGTCGGTGTTCGATACCGGTAACGAGGGCAAATATCGCGGCGCCAATGTCGCTTCGTTGTCGAATAAGAAGAAGAAGAAGAAGAAGGAGAAGAAGAAGAAGAGAAAGCAGAACACCGAGAAACGACACCTCAGAGTTAGATCGGCCATCGACGCGTCCTCGACTAGCGGTATAACCTGGGAGCGTATGTAAACGATGAAATTCTTAGAGAAAGTGTACTACGACCCTCGCGTCGAGAGTTCGTATTCCGGAGCCGAGAGGCTCGTACGCGGCGCGAAGAAAAATAGGGATCTGCCGTTCGAGAGAACGAGACGCTGGTTGGAGGGTCAGGACGCATATACCCTTCACAGATCCGTGATCTATCGATTTCCAAGGAGGCCCTATAACGTGAGCAACATTGACGACGTCTGGGAATCCGATCTCGTCGATCTACGCGCGCTTCGAATCTACAACGACGATAAGGCGTATCTGACGCTGCGCTTTGGCAGGCGTTGGGAAGCCTATCGATCTTATCGGACATCTACACTGCGATATCTTCAATCAAGATCGATTTTTGATAAACGGTGTAGAGATACGTTTGCGTCTAGTGCGCAGCCGCGATTCGTTTTGTCTCATGGACCCGTTTAAAGTACACGAGGCGACTTTGCTCGTGCGCCGAGTAAACGTAAACCCCGGAATACTGTTGTCTCACGAGCGCGCGCTGGCTAAAACCATGGCGAGGTATCCGCTCACGCGTGTAGAGGTGAAGGTCATGTCGATGCACGCCGGTTTGCACGGCGAGACACTGGACAACGCGATTCTCGGCCAATTGCCGAAACGAATCATTCTTGGTTTCGTGGATAACAGAGCCTTCAATGGTGATCGCAAACTCAAACCTTTCAATTTTGCGCACTATAACATCAATTATCTGTCTCTGTATGTGGACGGCATTCAGGTACCGTCTAAACCTCTACAGCCGGATTTCACCAAGAATCGTTTATACGTGGACGCGTACCACACGCTGTTTTCTGGTACCGGCACGCATTTTCTCAATCAAGGTAATTGCATCGATCGGGAAAAATATCCCGATGGCTATTGCCTCTTTGCCTTTGATCTGACACCCGATCTCTCGGCCAATGAGAACTCCCATTGGAATTTCATCAGGCACGGCAGCGTAAGAATCGAGGTGCGATTCGAGAACGCTCTGTTGTCGACGGTAAATTGCATCATTTATGCTGAGTACGAGAATGTTCTGGAGATAGACGCATCGCGCCACGTCCTGGTAGATTTCAACGGCTAAGCAAAGTGAGAGAGAGGTGGGAAAGACAGCGCATTTTTTCATAAAGTCTACGCGGACATAGCGGTGGGTGGTCGTGCAGTCTCTCGAGCGACTTTGCTAACCATGGACCTAGTAATCGACATCCAAGGGTTCCTCGACATGGAGGAACTCTTCATCCCGAAGGAGGTAGCCGTGGTCGCTGTGCATAGCGAATTTATCGCGTATTGGATCGTCGCGCCACCCTACCCCTTCAACGATCTACCGCCTCGCTCTCGCTCGCAAAACAATTGGCTGAGCAGGCATCATCACGGGATAGAGTGGTTCGACGGAGATGTATCGGCCAAAAAGTTGTACGAGAATCTGCAGGCCATCACTCACCATACCGGCCGAATATTCGCGCGTGGGCGCGAGAAGACTAATCTCCTGCGCAACATTATGAACCGGGAGATCGTCAATCTGGAGGAGTCGGAGGAGTACCCCGCGTTCAAAAATCTCCCTCAAGCCGGCGATCAGTGTGTTTACCACGGTATACGCTGTGACGCTCTTTTTACTGATATAATTCCAAATAAAGTTCTGGCAATTAACGTTCCGACCCTCTGGTGGAGTCACAAATAAATAATTAACAAAATAGTGTCTCCGTCTCGTGATCGTTCAACAGCAGCAAAATTTGTGGCCGCCAGGCCCTCCAAAGGGACAATCCGGGACCCGAACCGCACGGGCCCAATCCGTCGAGGCTCGCACCAGCGTACGGGAGCTCACGCACCAGCGATGAGCCTCCCAACCCGCCCACGGATTCGCACCAGCGTAAGGCCCGAAGGATCGGTCCCTCAACTAACAGAAGAAAAATTGTCTTATAGTCTCAAACACGCAAAGATTAAACGAAAGGTAGCGATACGGGACGAGACGCAGCGTCGCCGACGACGAAAAATAAACCGGGCTAGCTCAGTACGCCCAAGCGACCGCGGAGAGGGCGGGTTTCTTAAAAAACAAAGAAACAAACCATAGGCGGAATTAAATTGATGACCTATTTATTCCAAAATGTAACATTGACTCTAACAATTTCTCAAAATGGCCACGGGCAAGCCCACAATCCGGTACCAGCCCGGGCGACGAAGCGCGCGCTCGCGCTCAAAGGGGCGATGCGCGCGGCGAAGCGCACGGAAAAGAACGGTGGCTTTAGACAGCCAAGAATCCAAAAATGCGAAATCCAAAACGCAAAAATCTAAAACGCGAAATTATATCTTCGATTATAATTGGGCTCAACTACGGGACAAGAATAGTAATCAAATTAAAGACAACGCGAAAATTAAGAATGGCACGCACGCAAAAAACTACACGGAACTAAATTAAATCGGGAATTATTACAAGACTAAACGCGCGAAGAAAATATTCAAGCGGTGAACAGACGCAAGCAGAATAAATTCACGGGGGCGGCGATAAAGGCAGCTATAACACAAACAAAATTAACACGAGAAGCGCAAGAAAAGACAGCAATTTCAAAACATCGGCGTTAATAATCGACGCAAGAAACAAAGAGATCTCGGGCTCATGAAATTTCCATAAATGTTACATTTGCTCAGAAATAATTGTGATCCAACTAAATTTTATCGGATCCCGAGACTAACATTTAAAATAGCGAAATTCCAGACATCTATTCAGCTGTCGATTTATAAATGGAACAGTTACATGAAAGGCAGGCACGGTTACATAAGAAATTTCCAGCTCGAAAAGAGGGGATTACAGGGGGGTTTGCCTTTCGCGAAAACGGAATTTAATTCAACGGGAGTTTGCACTTCGCGAAAACGTATTTTAATTCAATAAGGTTCGCACTTCGCGAAACAAGGAAAATTGACTAAAAATTCGCACTTCGCGAAAAATGACATACTTTAATTATGATTCGCACTTCGCGAAAACGGTAATTATTTAACCAAGTTCGCACATCGCGATAACGGAATTTAAGTTCGCACTTCGCGAAACAAAAAGGAAATTAACGTGCCGACCGCTCAAGACAGCATTCTCGAGTTCGGGTCGACACGGCTTCTTGATCCGACCGAGGAGAGAGGCAGCAAAGAGATATTTTACTTCAAAAAGGCCGCTCACACGAGACTTTGGCCAAAAAATATAAAAGGGGCCGCTCACACGAGACTTGGCCGTCAATATCGGAAAATAGTCGCTCACGCGAGACTTTGGCCTATTAGACGCGGAGGGGCCGACCGCGTGACGCGCGGCCCGACGACCGGTTACCCGGGGAAAACGCGAAACCCGAAATCTATCAAAAGAATCTATACAATCTAATCAATTTATTGCACGCTCGAACCTCGGGCTCGGCGAGTGCGACAGCTCCCTCGATGGACGTCCACCGTAGGCAGCAATGCTCCCCGGTAGCGGCGGTGTGGTGTCGAGATAGCGGTGCAGGGTACCGGCGAGAAGGCAGCGGATACCTCTTCTTCGATCAACGCTCGTAGACCAGGAAGACCGAGTCCTCGCCGTGGTCTTCCGGGAACGCTCGACGGCTCCTCGTCGGCGGCTCGAAGTTCCCATTGATTGGGCGCCATCGGCTGCCAAATTGCGTCGGTCAATTGACGGCGGTCGCGTTCGAAATTGCGAGGATTTTGGGTGATGACAGCCGCGGCGCAGGCTCGCGCGCCGGATTTGAAGTGGATTTTGCGGTCCAATCGGGGCGCGCGGCCAGCGCGTAACGTCATCTGCAGGTCGAGGGACGTTGCTCCTCGGGGACTCGGTGTCGCCGACCTGGGCTCAATTGAGCCAAGATTCCTCGCGATTTTGCCGGGGGTGCCGATATCCCTTGATGGGCTCCCGGGTGAGGGGACAAGTAGTCCTTTCCGCCCTAGGGTCACCCCGGCCTGGCCTCGGCGTAGGAGGGCAACGCAATTGGGACCCCCCCCCCTCACCGCCCTTCTATGGAATCCCTTGAATCACAGGTCACGGCGGGGGGTCCACGGCCACCGGCAATGCGCCCTCCTAACGCCAACAGTGAGGGGCCGGAAATCCGGGTGCGGACGCGGTGACCCAACGACGCCGCCATGGGTCGGCCCTTGCCGTCAAGCACGGGGTCGCGGGTGGCTCGGTTCGGCTCTATTCCGCGCGGCCCCGGCACCCATGGGCAGCTGCGGGGCGAGGCCTCTCTGCCACCGTTGTCGTCCGCTTCTGTGGTTTGTAGGACGCCCTTGTCCCCCGCTGAATGTTGACTTCTTGCTCGCACTCGCCTCACCGCGAGGACGTCCCAACGTCTAAGCTATACACTACTTATGATACAAAAAAAAAACATTACAGGTAACGCGACGAATATTCGGGCTCCTCTCCTCCTCGGCCTTGAGCGTCGAGCGTACTGAAATAAGACATGGATGAAATGATACAATTAAAATGTTATACCACTGCCTTCGGAAAGGATTTTAATGCATTGCAGGATGGAGGTTTCAACATTTTGAGCCCTGGGGCGATCGCCCACCGGGTGAATCGTCACAGCGCAAAGCTAACAAGCATTTTTCGTGCTCGCTAAACAACGCGAAGCGGATACGCGAGTGGCTAGTGCGTCAGAGGGATCCTCAGCAAACCGACTGTCACCCGAGCTGTGCCGCTTGAACCACCACCACGATGTCGGCGGATGCCATCCTGCAGGACTACGAGCGCAAACCTACGGAGCTAGGTAACGAAGGGGTAGACGAGCCAGACGGCGACGGTGGCTGCGCTACTTCGTGAGCAACGAGGGCTGCTTGTTATTGTTAAATTGAACGGAGGTAGGGGTACGAACTTTATTCGAAAACTGTCCGCCCAGCGGTCAACAACGGTCGAACGAAGAAACTGATGGCCTGCCGATTCCGTTGCGCACGCTCCATCCATGAATAGTGTGGAGATTCGCGAGACACTGAGTGGACTACCCTCCAGGACGATCGGCGTGTATCCGGCTGACGAGATACCGAAAGTGTGGACCAATCCGGCATCTCTCGTGGTCAACACCGATGATCACACGAAACCCGGAACCCACTGGATCGCCATACACGTCGGCAGAGATGGACGAGAATACTACTTCGACAGCTACGGACTACCGCCTATTGTGCCCCAACACTTGGAAAGACTCCGAAGGAATTCTCAATATTTCGATTTTAACGATAAGTTGCTTCAGCGCGAGACTTCCGACGTTTGCGGGCAATTCTGCGTGGTATTTCTTCATCTTATGTCTAGCGGTTGTAGACTACATCGCTTTCAGCGTTTATTCACGCGGGATACTGTAAATAACGATAAGATAGCTCACGAACATTACGCCGCGTAAGTAGCTAGTCGAAAGGAACGAAATAGCGGTTTTGTTAATCGCGTTAGATATCATCAATGTAGTCAGGACTGCTGTTCTAAACGCAAACGATGGCAGTAAATAAATAAATGTATTCCCGAAGTACCTCCGTTTATCCTAAATAAAATTGAAAATGTATGTTTAATCGTAATTTGCTGTTATTTATTTAAAAAAAAAGAATCTAACGTCTGTCGTTCCCGAATGCAACTCTCAGCTGCGCCGGAACGTCCACGAACTTATCCTCGCGCATGGAACGTGCCGTCAACTCGATTTTCTTTTTGGCTTTGCGCGCGTCACCAATGAAATTCAACCGAAACCGTAAGTATCGGTTAATCGCCGTTGCATCGAATCATCCGAAGAAGAAGAAGAAAGGCGGGTACTGAGCTCTTGTCCTTGGACGTTTGTCTCCGCAACTTTACAATTTCGTTGAAACCCTACCGCTGAATCGCCAGTTGTTTCTTTTTTAAATTCAGCGTCGTTCTCGAAACATCTGGGGGTAAGCCGACACCTCGCGAGAAGGACATTTTTTGAATTCATCTATTCCACGTGTGCAATCTCCATGGCAACGGACTTTGGGCGATTAGCATAAATCGACGCGTCAACAGTATTCTACGGACACTATAAATACCGAGAAAGCACCCCGCGTTCTTCATCATTCGACAGATAGACGTCGGGTTAAACGGTGGAAAGTAAGCAAGCGACGACGACGACG